CACGGAGCGGCTGGGCCCGTGAGCCATGGCCGCTGAGCCTGCGCGTCCGGAGCCTGTGCTCCGCAACGGGAGAGGCCACAACAGTGAGAGGCCCGTGTACCGAAAAAAAAAAAAAGTCACGGTGAGGTTTGAACTCTGAAGTGTCTTGAAGTATCTGATCTGAATGTTGCTGTCTACTTCAAACACATCGCACAAACTCTTCCAGCAAAATTCTGGTAAAAGAACCCGGGTTACTTTTTAGGGCCTCCTCTAGTAAAGGAAATGTCATTCTGCTTCTATTTCACAAGACTTTGAAGCAAGGACAGTGGATCTGTTTGTCTCGCATTGCTACTTAGCTAGAGAATTAGGCAACAGTTGAGAAAGGTCACTGGTGCTTGCTCACACTCCCTCTCTTTCTCTTCCCACATCTGAGGATAATTGCTACCAGGCAAGAGCATTTAATATGAATTCACTTAGAGAATCACAGTTTTGTAATCAGTGGGGGAAAAAGTTTGATTGGAACTTCATATTGAAAAATGAAACTAAATGATATTAAAATATGTTTTCTTAGGTTTAATAAGTCTAGGTTATCACTGCAAATGTGCACTAATTCTCTTTTTTTACAAGCATCATTCTTTTTTTTAATTAATAAATTAATTAATTCGGTTGTGCCGGGTCTTAGTTGCAGCAGGCAGGCTCCTTAGTTGTGGCATGCATGTGGGATCTAGTTCCCTGACCAGGGATCGAACCCCGGGCCCCCTGCATTGGGAGTGCGGAGTCTTAACCACTGCGCCACCAGGGAAGTCCCAAACATGGACTGATTCTTAGAGAATGAATTATATGTTATTTTTCTCAGCATACATTTTCTGACAAAATTATAAATCATAACATCTTTCACTTTACTTGGACTTTTAAAGCCCTATCACAGAAGAAGTAGGGGGTAGTAGTATTACCTGAGAAGTGATGTTTTAGTAGGGACCAATTTTATAACTTTATAAGAATATTTTCACTGCTTAACTTCCTAACTTCAAGGAATTAGAGTAATTATAAATATGCATGTAAATACTTATGCCATATGTCTCCATCTATATGCAAAAGAGGTAAATGTACACTGTAAACTGTATGTAGGTAACGCAAGTTACTGTATTCTGTATTTGAATGTGGCATTACAGATAGTTACTATCTCCTGTGATTGGAGAAGTGGGTATATTAACCAAGTTTTAGTTTCTAAACCCCAAAACCTATCTCCTCCTACTCTACCATGGGCAATATACCACAGTCAATTTTTATAGATTCCTAGTTATTTCAGTAGCCATCTAATGACTATGTCCTCAGAAAGAAATTGACCAGCTAACTTTTACACATTGTAAATAATCTATTAATAATCTCGAACACTTACTGAGCTAAGGCTCTGTTCCAAGCACATCCCTATATTGTCTCAGTATTTACAGCAGCCCTGTGACCAACGTGAATAACACCATCTCCATTTTGTAAATAAGTTCACATGCATGCTCTATTTTGTTAACTACCCATTGAAATAATGTTTTCTGTAACAAGTCTTCCCATGTGGAAATCCTTTCTCCTTAGTCCTGTCTGAAAAGCATTTCCCTGGCCCCGGACAGGGAGTAACTCTGTGTATATAACTTTCTAGCCCCAACATTCATCACAGAATCCTAGACCTGAGTTGGATCTCCTTTGACATCAGCTCAAACCCTTCCCAGTATCCTGACAGGTGACCCCTCCACCCCCTGATTCAATGGTTCCAGTGCTCAGCTGCTCACCACCTCCTGGGGCACTTCATTTTTATTTTAACATAATTATAATTGTTCAAAAGTTTTTTCCTCGTACCAAGTGGATACTTCTTCCTATAGCTTCCATCCCACTAATCCCAGTTCTGCCATTGTGGAGTTCCACCCCAACCAAATCTAATTCCTTTTCTGTGTGGATGCCATTCATGTATTTGAAGTCCCTTATCACCTGAACAGTGAAGAGAATCTTCCTGCTGTGTGTTTACACATCTTAATCATTTTTTCGGCAGGCCGTAAACCTTGAAGCAGAGCTTTTCCTGGAATTGAGCATCAATTAGTAAAGTAAATCAGGACCAACTAAATAAAGGTTAAACACAGGCCAGTAAATCACTTATAAAATGTTTGCATAATCCTCCAAAACAAAGGGTATTTTTTCCCCCAGACAACTGTGTAAAGGAGGCCTAAACCCACTAACAAGAATGTGATAAAGAAAGGTCACAAGGGGGAATTCCCTGGCGGTCCAGCAGGTTCAATCCTTGGTCGGGGAACTAAGATCCCGCAAACCACAAGGCCAAGGGGGAAAAAAAAAGGTCACAAGGTTGTTAATCCACCTCCTGGGCCTGACCCAGGCATCCTTCCTACCACTGCTTACAGCTTGAGATCCTCCAGGGGCTATGCTTCTGAATTGGTTCATTTTGACAACTGACCTCTTTTTAAAGCAAAGGTTCTCTATGAGATGGCCCTTGCGTTTCAGTAGCCACCTTCTGGCCAACTCCTGCCTTTTAGGAGTATAAGAAGCTGGATGCAGTTGAAGAAGCAGCCTCATTTCACCTCCTTGGGCAAAGATGAGGGAGGCAGGTGGACAGTGTTAGAAGGGAGGAGGTAATCTTTCAGTTACCTTGTTTTTTTGTTGTTGTTTTTTTGGCCACACCACATGGCTTGCAGGATCCTAGTTCCCCGACCAGGACTGAATGCGCACGCTCGGCAGTAAAACTGCGGAGTCCTAACCACTGGACCACCAGGGAATTCCCATCACTTCCCTTGTTTTTTAAGTTGAAGGATGCTTCTGAGTTTGGGAGTTCCAGGGTTTTCTTTGCCCAGCTGATTTCTCATCATTATCTGGGGGAAGGAATCGGCCTGAAAGAGCAACGTGAAGCACGGCGCCCTCTTCTAGTGAAGGGAATCAAGGCCTGCTGAGGTTGCCCCCGTGGGCCCACACCTTCAGACCTTCCCATAGTCACATGTCCCATCCCCCTGTGGGACACACCTCAACTTCCCAGGTACGCCAGCTGTGGGAGCAGAGTGGGAGTTTCAGTTCTGCAAGCTGAAAAGAGTTCTGGAGTCGGTTGGTGATGATGGTTGTACAATGTTATGAATGTACTAATACCACTGACATGGTCAAGATGGTAAATTTTATGTCATGTGTATGTTACCACAGTACAAACTTGGGGGTATGCGGGAGGGCTGTGGCCACTCCTGGAGGCTGAGCCCACCAAGTGTGCTCGGGAAGCTGGGGTCTGGTCTCCTGATTAGAGCGATGGTCCCCAGGCCGGGTGCTCATGAACTGCACTGGGGAGTTTCAGATACAGATTCCTGAGCCCCGCCATAAAGACCCTGATTTGGCACCTCTAGGGTAGGGCCTGGGAGTCAGTATTTTCCAAACACGCCTCAGATGGTTTTGATAATCAACCAAGTGTGGGATCTGCTGGGCTGGATCTTTAGGGAGCCTTTGTTATTAACCTCAGCGAATTCCAGGCGCTTGCTTCTTTTGGACTTAGACTCAACTGTAGAGGTGCACAGCACAGTGGGGCATGTCTCTGGACCTTTCAGGCTGTTGCTTGCCATTCAGTCGTTTGATGAATGTGTATTAAGTGCCCACCCTGTGCTGGGAACGGGGCTATGTCAGAAGAGGCAGGGTCTCAGCTCTCACAGAGCATGTCGTCCAGCAGAGATCGATTAGACCCCCTCACCCCTGCCCCTGCCCCTTCCCTTTCCAGCAGCCTTCACTCCCTTGCATTTTCTATTTCCCAGCCTGCTCACCTTACTAGATCAAGTTTTACAAATTCTTTCAGAGCTCGATCTGTGTCCAATTCATTTCTAGGCTGTCGTTTTCTCCTGGACCCACCCCTTCCCCCATTGCCCACACCTAGTGTTATGGTTTTCACCCAGTAAATGTTTGTTAAAGAGATTCATTCATTCACCCAACCAATATTTACAGAGTGCCTACTATGCGCTAGGCATAATTGTAGGTTTCAGGGCTATGAGGGAGGGCGAGGTACCTAGGACGCAGAATTTAATCAGCAGCTCCCTCTAGCAGCAGCAAGAGCAGGGCTGTCACCTGAGAGTGAGCGCCTCCTTAAATTTTGTGCCCTAGGTGCCTCGCTTGTCTCACTCTAGTCCCAGCCCTGCTAGGTGCTGGGGACACAGCCATGAACAAAACAGACAGAGATCAATGCACCTAAGTAAACTCTCCCTTCTCCCAGCATCTTTGTGGGGCTCTGCATGTTGCCTGTCCTTAAGTGTCTTTCATTTGTGTGCCATCTGCCTTCCCACCTAGACTGTGAAGTCTTATTCTGGTCTGCCCCTTCCTCTTCCCACCCCACCTCCACAAGCATTCTGCCTAGACAATGTTTTCCAGAATCTTGTCCTTGACCATCTGCATGGGACTTCCTCGTGGCATCGTTTAAAATGCAGCGTCCCGGTCTCACCTTTTGAGTCAGGTCCTTTGAGGGTGAAACTCTGGATTCCGCATCAAGGTCCCTGGGTTGTCAAGGCAGGTTTAACGTGTGAGGATCCCCAGCCTGCCGATTTGTTCAGTCAGTACTGCTGACTAATACTAGGAGAAGACAGGGGAAAGTGGCATTTTGAATGTGCTTCAGTTTCTTTGTGATTCTGTTCACAAAGTCAGAAGACACAGGTGTGGGAAAGGGATGGTCTGGAGAGCTACATGATGGCCTTGACTCTGACCCTATGGGGCTCTGCAGGGAGATCTCTCAGCTCAGCCTTGCACCTTAGCTGGGCCACTCCAGGCCCTGCCCCATCACCCCTGGAGATTTATCAGGTTGCCTGCCTTACCTCCCCAGGCAGCTAGAGGCTGGCATTTCCCGTAGCTTTGGGTCAAAAGTTTCCATGGAGCCAGTGGAAGCGGTGTGTACGTAGGTGGCTGTGGGGAGAGCCTGCGAGCCCCAGGGCAAATAAGGAACGTGGGAGGGTCTGTGAATCTGGTCCTCCCTGACCTCTAAGGCAGGTACCCACCATTTTCACTTGCTTCACATAGTGCCCTGCACAGATGCCCACGCACTTTGGGCTGTCAGGTGCATACTGTTTAATGGTAATCATCTGAATGAAATAAATCCGTTGTGTGAGTTACCAGTAAACCCAGTCTGCAGGGTGGAGCATACGTCAGCTTTCCCAATCCATCAACACCTGGGCAGTATCAGGCGCGATTCCTCTGCCGACCCACCACACCCCACACCGAGCTCCCTGAGAGAAGAGCTCAGGAGAGTAGGTCTCGTCTGCTTTTGAAAGGGTGCAGGCATGCAGATGGAGGGCCTATCCAAGTCCAGCTGAGGAGGGAATTTGGGGTAGTGTCAACATCTGGACACGGTCCCAGGGTCCCTAAATGGCAGGTTACTGAGGGCTTCCAGCAGCAGGCCGTGAGAGTTGAACTGATTAATAACCTATTTATTTGCTTGTAAGGTTGGTGACAGTGGTTTTCAAGCTTTATGTGCATCAGTATCACCTATAGAGCTTGTTAAAACAGGTGCCCAGATGCGACCTCGGAATCTTGAGAGTTGGAGCTTGGGAATTTGTCTTTCAACATCTCCCCAAGCAATTCTGCTACACACACATCTCAGAACCTCAGGTGCTTTGAACTAAGGACTCTGCAGTGTTTGTGTCTTTATTCTGCACACCCCTCCCCCGCTTTCCTTCAAGCATGGTGGTTTGTACCCTGAACTTGGCTAAAATGAAACTACCTCTCCCAGCTCCCCTTCCCCGTAACGCTGAGTTAGAGATGGACAAAGGAGGAACTCGTAAAAGATCTGGAAGATGAATGTGGGGTGGTGGCCATTACTCTCGGAAGGTGGTCGGGGTTAAGTTCGGTGACAGACAGACACGAAGGTGCCAGGTCCCACTTGTCCTCACTCTCCTCCACTCCACATCCAGCTCCTCCTAACAGCAGCCCCAGACCCTCCCTCAGATGCTTGGTGGCAGAGCCCTGGAGGAGGGACCCACACAGGGCAGAGTCCCCCTGCAAAACCTCCCTGAAGGCTTTTTTTGCGGTCCCTCCGCAGTGGTGGGGTCTACTTAACTTATTCGACTGGACGCTTGGTGGCTCCTTCTCTGACCCTCCAGTCCCTTCCAGGTCTTCACCTCCCCAGCTCCTCCCACAGGGAAGTCAGGTCTCACTCCTATAACAAATCCCTTACCTCAGAACTCACAGGGGCTTCTGCTTCCCCTGGGTGAACCCTGACTGACCAGTCAAGAAACACTTCCCGTGTCCAAAATAAAGCAAGACTTGGGAATTGGCCTTCCATTTAGATCCAAGAAATGCTCGTGGGCTATTAAGATGTGTTGACATCAGTTACAAGGTAACTCAGTTAGTCCTACCATCCATGATCACAGGGTAATTGAAAAAGATGATTCCCCAGATTCTCTGCTGGCAAATAACAGCACCTTGGGCAAATTAGAAAAAGGTGCCTCCTTTGGGTAGCATTAGTAAAGATCACCCCTTCCTTCCTCCCGCTTTCCCTTTTAATCTGGGTGCCCTTGTGCAGGCCACAACCTGCATAACTGGATATATATAGCTGCCCTGGGTACCTATTCTGTCCATTAATGCCAAGGGGCCCTGAGTCCGGCCTCTAATTGCTTTCCTAGTATCATCAAGCATAGACAGGTCACAAAACAGTCTCACCAAAATGTTTCAGGGGAGAATAGAACTTCCTTGGTCCTTGAACAACTTTTCTGTCCCCAGTGCCATGGGCAGCCTGATCATTCATGTCAATAAGCTCTAGCAAGATTACCGCAGCCCGCACTACACTGTAGTGTTACTATTTGTTTGATATCTGTCTCACCCCTAGACAGTGAGCTCCCTGAGGACAGGGGCTCTGATGTGGTTGCCTTTGGATCCCCAGTGACCAGTATAGTACCTGGCACAGAAAAGCATGCAATAAATGTTTGTGGAATGAGTGAATGGATCAAGCAGAACTAAAGGAAAACCCCTGTTTTCCTCAACTCCTCAGACTTCTGATATCAGACGGGTAGGTTTTTCTATACCCGACAACTCTCCAATCATCAGTGCACACCAACTGGGTACCTTATAATTTAACTCAATTCTAACACTAACTGCCTGGAGCTAGCACAGACCCCACAGGTGAAGGGCTCAGTCCCATAAGACTGTCCCCCACTTCAGATGCCAGCCCCAAGTCCCAAGTTGTCACCTGTACTGCTGACCAACCAGCTATGAATCAGGGGTTCCCATGACCCTCTCCTCAGCTTCGAATATTTGTTAGAATGGCTCATAGGACCTCCTTATATTTACTGGTTTACTGTAAAGGATATAATAAAGGATACAGGTGAACAGCCAGATGAAGTGGTACATAGGTTGAGGTCTGGACGGTCCCAAGTGCAGGAGCTTTTGCCCCCATGGAGTTGGAGTGCAACACCCTCCCAGCACATGGATGTGTTCACCAACCCGGAAGATCTTTTATGGAGACTACATCATGTAGGCATGATCCATTATTAACTCATCTCCAGTCCCTCTCCCCTCCCTAGAGGAATGGTGGGGATGGGACTGAAAACTCCAAGCTTCTAATCGTGACTTGGTCTTTCTAGTGACCAGCCCCCAACCTGAGCCATCCAGAAGCCCACCAAGAGTTACCTCATTAGAACAAATGATGCTCCTGTCACCCAGGAAATTCCTAGGGATTTAGGAGCTCTGTGTCAGGAACTGGGGGCAGAGACCAAATACATAGTTCTTTTTAGATCACTGGAGGTCACATCTGGTTCTGGAGCTGAGTCTTTCCTATCAGGCTATGTCCTTGATTGAAAGGGTCAGGAACCAGGGACCAGATCTTTGCCTCCCTTATAGAGTATGTGATTCACACACCAAGAGGCCAGATACTGGGCACCATGGACCCTTCTGGTCTGAGGTCTTCACTGGTGCTTGGTCAGTCTTGGCTGATCACAAGCTATATCCAGGTTAGTAAATATGTGACATAAGGGCCCCCAATCCATTCTGCAGTGCCCGTGATCACTACTCTATTTTGGCCCTCAAGTCTTCTCAAGACAACACCCTGGATAGTTACTACCAACTGCTCAGAGTTGCTACACTAGATGGAAGCCATGTCTTGCCTTGAGCAGCCTCTGAGGGCTGTCTTACTGCCATCTGGGCCATCAGAGGCATCCATATTTTTGTTTGCAGGAAGGCCTTTGCCAAAGAATACCAACAAGTAAAGTAGAAATTGAGTCCTAAATAAACGGCCCCAACTTTATCCAACATAAGTAACCATTAAACCAACCACAACTAACCTTTTTTTTTCAATCAAATGTAAAAGGCAAAAAGATGGCTTTGTTTGTCTGATATGGTGCAACTTTAAAATGGAGGTTAGAAACTAAAAATAGAGTTACTGTATGATCCAGCGATCCCACTCCTGGGCATATATCTGGAGAAAACTCTAATTTGAAAAGATACATGCATCACAATGTTCATAGCAGCACTATTTACAATAGCTAAGACTTGGAAGCAACCTAAATGTCCATCAACAAAGGAATGGATACAGAAGATGTGGTATATATACACACAATGGAATGTTACTCAGCCATAAAAAAGAATGAAATAATGCCATTTGCAGCAACATGGATGGACCTAGAGATTATCATACTAAGTGAAGTAAGTCAGATAAAGGCAAATATCATATGATGTCCCTTATGTGTGGAATCGTTAAAAGTGATACAAATGAACATATTTACAGAACAGAAATAGACTCACAGACATAGAAAACAAACTTATGGTTGGTTACGAAAGGGGAAAGGGTGGGGAGGGAAAAATTAGTAGTATGGGATTAAAATATACACACTATGGGACTTCCCTGGTGGTCCCGTGGTAAAGAATCTGCCTTACAATGCAGGGGACACGGGTTCGATCCCTGGTCAGGGAACTAAGATCCCACATGCCATGGGGCAACTAAGCCCGCACACCACAGCTAAAGAGAGAAGCCCGCGCGCCACAACGAAAGATCCTGTGCGCCTCAACAAAGATCCTGCGTGCCGCAACTAAGACCCGATGCAGCCAAAAATAAACAAATTAAATAAATAGTAAAATAAATCTTATAAAAAATATATACACACTACTATATATAAAATAGATAAACAAGGACCTACTGTATAGCACAGGACACTATACTCGATATTTTGTAATAACCTATAATGGAAAAGAACCACTTTGCTGTATACCTGAAATTCACAACATTGTAAACCAACTATATTTCAATTAAAATTTAAGAAAAATTAAAAAACAAAATGGGGGTTTGATATGGACCCAAATGCCTGGGGACAAGTCTGCCCCCACTGGGATCTGTTTCACTGCAGAGACTTCTCTCCCTGCCCCAACACACAGTCTGGTTCATCTTGAATCCAGCAGGGCCATTAGGGGTCTCTGAACCCTGCACATCTCCTGGCTCTGCAGTTGCCTCGCTTTAGTTGCAGAGCTTGGCATTTGGTAGGAGTGAATCTGCTGTCAGGTGTGGAGGGGAGGGGAGGGGAGGGGAGGGGAGGGGAGGGGCGGGCTCTGTGGAGTAATGGAAGGAGGATGGGAAGGAGACAACCATTTGGCTTCCTGCTCCAGTTCTGCCACTTAGTAACCATGTGACCTGGGACAAGTCAACAGTCTGAGCCTCTATTTCCTCATGTGTGAAGGACGTGGCGGAAAGAGTAATTATTCATTGCTTATAGGTATCTCATTGGGATATTGAGAGCATCAAATTAAATTGAATGGTTGATGTGAAAGTGCTTTAAGTAAGGGAGGAGAAGGTTTTGTTCTGTTCACTGCTCTATAGCACAGAGCCTGGCCCATAGCCTAGTGAGGTATTCAGTAAAATGTTTGTTGAATAAATAACTGTAAACACAAAAATCTTTCCCCTCTGTGGGGTAGAGAGGGGAATGATATCAGCAGCACACAGTGAGCTTCAGAGATGGTTGTGATAGTCTATGTCTATGGCTGCATGGAGGTTACATGCTTCATCGGTACTCTGTGTGCTTGCATGTTAAATATTCTTCTGTATGTGTTCAACATCTCATTAAGGCACTTAAAAAATATAATGCAAAAAAGAAAAAAGTAGAGAGGAAAACATGTGGTAAAGTACCTTTGCCAGAAGAAGACAGTATTGTAACTCCTGACGTTGCTTCCACACAAGCAGTGAAACTTCTGAGTGACCTCACTTAATTCATCAAGGTCCTATGTTTGGGCCAAGCATTGCTGAAAGCAGAGGAATTTATAGAAAGAAAGTTATATCAGAAACCAAGACTTGATGGGATCTACTTTTTAATGAGAGAGTACGTAGGCTGCTTTTTTTTGTTTGAAGTCACTGCCTTTCACTTACATGCGGGTCATACTTGAGCCAGTCAAGGTAAAGTACGTGTAAGCTGTCGTGTCTTGGCTTGTACAGTGGCCTCTACCTTGCTTCACCTTGCTGGTTCATACTTGTCATTCAAGACTTACCCCAGGTACTTCCTCTGAGCTGCTACACTGGCATCCTGCCACCTTAGCTCATCTGTGGCAGTGGTTCTCAATAGGGCTGATTTTGTTCCTCAGGGGACATTTGGCCCTGTTTAGAGATATGTTATTGTCAAGGCTGGATGGGGGTGGGGTGGAGGGTATACCACTGGCATATCGTGGGTAGAGGCTAAGGATGCTGCCGTGCATCCTACAACACACAGAACAGTCACCCTCACGACAAAGGGTTCCCTGATCCCAAATGTCCATAATGCCGCTGTTGAGAAACCCTGCTTGATGGAGTGAAATTTTCCTTCTGTCTCACTGAGACCTGAGCTCATCCTGGGCAGGGCCCTTGCTGATTCAGCCTTTTATCCCCAACACCAGCACACTGCTTAGAAACACACACACACACACACACACACACACATTTACTTTCCTATTCATTTGTTCCCCTACTCTGTGTAAGGTGCAGTACTAGCTGGAGATGCTCTCAAGGAGTTTTGTAGTCAAGTGGAGGACAAGGTCATGTAAATACCTAATCATTCCCAAGACAGATCGAAAACAGGGTCATAATAGAGGAACACGTAAAGTGCTTTGGGAGAGCTGATTATTAGGTAGAACCAAATGAAGTTGCTGACATTCTACTTTTTTGACTAGAAATACAGCAATGATATACGGCTCACTCACAAGTGTGGTTTACCGTAAATACTTTTGACAGAGTTGGGGGCAATGAGCAGACTTCACAGGGAAGGAGAGACGCAGGAAGCACGTATTTCACAGCCTGCCTCCTCTGCTGCATGAGAAAGGGACCGTATTTTTTTTTTTTTTTTTTTTTTTTTTTGTGGTACGCGGGCCTCTCCCAACAGCCATGGCTCACGGGCCCAGCCACTCAGCAGCATGTGGGATCTTCCCGGACCGGGGCACGAACCTGTGTCCCCTGCATCGGCAGGCGGACTCTCAACCACTGTGCCACCAGGGAAGCTCAGGACCGTATTTTTTACTTTGTATTTGTACCCACTTTTACTTCTTTGTATCACCCCCCACCCCCTGCCACGTCACACTTCCTGGAAGAATGCCTTACAGTTAGAAGGCACTGGTAATTTTTTTGTTGACTAGAGTTCAGGAAAACTATTTGTACTTCAAGTTTGTTTTATCATTGTCCTTGCACTTTAGTCCCAGGGAACTGAAGAAGAGTGTTTTAGAGGCACGAAATATGTAGTGCTTTCCTGGTGGCAACAGGTACAAGAAGACACGGTCCCCCAGTATCATCCGAAGTCACAGCCTGTCAGAAGAGCCATAAAGGAAACTGCCCGGAGCTAAAAGCCCAGAAGCATGGCTGGTGGCCATCTGTGCTATCATGTGACCCTGTGTGTCAGGCAGCCCCACACGCACCTGGCCCACGAGCCTAGGCCACTTACTCACCTCGGCCACTTACTCACCTTGTGCTCTGGAGCAGGTAGTGGAGGATAAACATTTCAAAGTTGGACTCAGAACTTGGCAGGGTGCAGCTGTCAACCACACGCAAGCCAGAGAACTCTGGAAAACTGAACTGTTTATAAGGTCAAACTTTGGTAAGTCTGATAAAGTCTGGCTGCAGGTATCCATCTAGTCTCTTGAAAGAATTGCCCGGAAGCTCATTGCTGAATGGTTGGATGTTACCAGTGGTGAGCAGTCTCTGCTTGTGGATGGAATCTGGCAACTCAGACAACACCCCACAGCTCCTGATGCAAGTCTGGGCAGGAGCTCGGAGGCTTGCAGCCAAGAAGATAAACCCAGGACAGCCCTGTAGGCTATCCAACCATCTGGCAGGTGGACTTATTCAGGGCCACTGGTGACCCCTACCACGACCAGACACCAGTAGCAAGACAGCCTGGGATTCTGTGCTTGTCCTTTCCTTTCCATGGGGCTCCTACAGAGAGAAGTGGTTCCTACCCTTCTAGATGCAACAGTGACCCTGAGTTCATTTGTCCATGTGGATCTCAGTCGATGCTTGAATTCTGTCCTAACCAGACCTTGTTGTCAGAGCAAAAAAGAAAAAAAATTAGTGTTAAACAAAGAGAAGAATTCAGACCATGGATATAGCATTTCTTTTTCTTTTTTCTTTTTTTTTTTTTTTTTTTTTTGTACCCCCGTCTCACTGTTGTTGTCTCTCCCGTTGTGGAGCACAGGCTCCGGACGCACAGGCTCAAAGGCCATGGCTCACGGGCCTAACCACTCCGTGGCACGTGGGATCTTCCCTCTGTCCTACAGTTTCTCCATGTATAATATGGAGATAATAATAGTACCTACCTCTCTGGGTTCTTGTGAGAACCAAACGTGATCATATAGTTGGTGCTTTGATCAGTTCTTGGCACATAGTATGAACTAAGATACAGCTGTTGCTATAATTCTATTTGTATCAATTTAATAACATGGAATGTTTATTTATTTTAAAATAACAGCATTGATTTTGTTCCTCTCAATATTATGGTCTCTTTGGCACTTTTGCTCAATAGAGAAGATTGGATGGGATCTGGAGTTAGAAGACCTGCATTTGAACCCCAGATCTATTGGGTCTGATTAGTATTTGAATTAATCATTTAAACTCTCCAAGCCTGAATTTTCTAATTTTTAAAATAGGAAAAATAATATGTACCTCCCGGGGTTGCTATGAGGATCAAATACGACCCTGTATGTGGAAGCGGGTCACAACTATTAAACACTGCATAGGTGTCACTGTTGTTCCATATCAGGTGTGAGAATCATCCAGTTGGGAAGGGTTCAGAGGTCATTTGGTCCGTTAGCTGTATGGTCAAGATGGTAGGACGGCCCTCTCAGAGCACCTGCTCAGCTCACCCACAGAGGCAGGTTGCCAGCACTATTTGCACAGATGCCTCAACAATACCTATTGAATTGGTTCTTTTCTGTGTCCCTCCACTGCCACCTCCCCAGGCCAGACCAAGTGGACACTGCTTCTCACCAGGACCACTGCGATGGCCTCTCAAATGGTCTCCATTCTCTAGATTCTGCCCCTTAATTAGACCATTCTGCAGACAACTGTCAGGGTCATCCTTTAAAAAACAAATCAAAAGGTCTGATAGTGAGGGACTCCTCTACTTGAGAACACTGAATGGACTTCCATTTTCATAATATGGTGGGAGAGGCTCTGGAATTACCCTCCGTGTACAAGACATACTCTAAAAATCTTAAAGACCCGGCAGGATACTAAATTGTCACAAAAGCCCAGATCCAAGAAAAACTGGAAACCCAGAGAGATAAATGGAGCATGGGAGCCACTTTTTTCTGAGGAGGTGTTCCATAACTAGTAAAGTCTGTAACACACATTATTATCTAGGAATGATATTCAAAACGACATCAACAAAATCAAGCCTAGGCCAGATCTGGCCTGCAGACTGCAGGGAGGTTGGGGGGAAGATGTGATGTGGTTGGTGTTTGTGTGTTGATAGTGACTCTCAGAGACGGGCCCAAACCCCTGGCCCTATGCCTACTTCTTAAGGAGGCTTCTGCTGAACAGGTGAGAGAATTACAGAGTTATTTGCCTTCTAAGTGTTTTTGAATTCTCAGGCTTCCTTTTCCCTTCCACAGTTTCTGAGTCACTTCTCTGTTTTTAGGTCAGGTGCCCAATACCTAACAGCTCATAATTCCTCTTCACTTTTCAGAAAGCGCAAATCTAGTAGAGCACATTTTTCGGCAGCCTGGGCTCACCTGGGGCTGGATGGTAGCAGAGACTCAGGATATCCAGGTAGGCAGCACTCGTGTTGACTGAAAGGCTCTGGGCTCTTAAAGTGGAAGTATCAGTGTTTCAGTCTCTCTGTATCTCAGCTTAATAGAGGTGTTCCTGGATGAAATGGAAGGACAAAAATCCAAGAAGGAAACAGGGAAGGTCTCGGAGGCACATGGTACATTTTAGACATTAAGAGCATGGACTTCAGGATAAGAATGGTCTGAGACTGAATCCTGGCTCTGCCACTTTATAACTGTGTGACCTTTGCCAAATTATTTAAGCTCCAATTCCTACATCTGTAAAGTAAGGATTATACCAGGTTGAACAATATGAAATTGCTTTCGTGTGAGTCAAGCAGTCAAATATTGTCAGTTTCAACCTAATGTGGTACCTACCTCCTAGGGTTGCTGAGGATAAAATGACATCATTTGTGAAAAGGGCACAGCACAATTTTTAAGGAATATTCGACCGAAGGAAGTGGGTAAGCAAGCTAGGAATGATAAGTGCAAAGTCTCTGAAGGAGGAACGTGCTTGAGAGTATTCTTGGAAGAACAGAGCAACCAGTAGGGCTAGAGCCCGTGAGGGAGAGGGAAGGGGTTGGAGGTGGTCCAGGGATATGGCCTGGGGTTGGGTCACACAGGGCCCTGGGAGCCGTCATGATGGGTTTTGTGTGTGTGTGTGTGTGTGTGTGTGTGTGTGAATCTTTTTTTTTTTAACATCTTTATTGGAGTATAACTGCTTTACAATGGTGTGTTAGTTTCTGCTTAGTGTGTGTGTGAATCTTAATGATGGAATCAAGAGCTAATACTTATTGTGAATTAGGTTCTGGACATTTTTGTGGTACAAAGTAAGTGCTCAATAAACAGAAGTCAAAGAAGCTGAAGGTGTAGATGGCATGTAGGTGAATGAGACGAGGAAAAGAAGGAGCAGTAACTCTTAGGTTGGCAGCACAAATGGGGACTTTCTGGGGGAAAGAGCAGCATATTGTGCCCCCAGGAGCTGTAAGTTAGGACCCTCGGGCCCATAGATACAGAGATCTTTGCTATGGACCCAGGATGAAGAGGTGCATCTTGGTGCTTGGCTCATCACACACTGAGAACAGGCCAGGAAGTTTACCATAGGTGATGTAAAGGCAGTAAATTAGCAGAGTAATTTAGCATAGTTAACAGTTAAGCAGGGCTCTGAACTCAGCTCTACCAGTTACTAGTTATGTGACACTGGCAGGTTACTTAACTACTCTGAACCTTAGTTTCCTCTTCTGTAAAATGGGGGTGATGGTATTACCTACCTCACAGAGTTGCATGAAGATTAAATGAGATAATGCAAGCAAAGCACAGACTAAGCCCTCAGTAAATTATTATTATTCCTGGGCCAAATGTATGGGATACTGGTAAAGCATGTTTCAAGCCCATTAACCACTACGTATTGTTAGGGACTTGTGTGAGGACACTAATTCTATGTCAGAAGAAACCTGACAAGCACGTCTAAGGCTCAGGAAATCCTGGTTAGGAAACAGAAAGCCTTGAGGACATGCTTCAAATCAAGTGTTGGGATTTGGGGAGAGAAAAGCGATGTGAGAAGTGCGCGTATAGAGATATAGACTGTTTTGCAAAATAGGATTTAGTTTTTTGGACCATGAGTTAATAAAGAAAAACCAATATCTTCTGGTGTGAGACAGAACATAAGGGGCAGGGCGTGTGGTGTGTACAGAAACATCCTGTGTGCCATGCCCTGTGCATGCCCTCATTTAAACCCCAAAGTAGCCCTGCAGCTGAGTGTTAAGTGTCCACTTACCCCATAAGGAAACTCAGGCTCAAAGAGGCAGAGGTGAGACTTGAAATAAGTCTGACTGAAGCCAACATTCCCGCTTTTAAGATGCAACCACGGCAGACGGTACGTGAGATTTTCAGGACATTATCACTGGGAAGAGAATCAGAATAATACTTATGGCCTAATATTTATATGAATAATAAAGAGATCTCAAATATAATCTCTAGGAGTTAAGATTCTTTTAGTTATAAGAAAGAAAAATCGGGGCTTCCCTGGTGGCGCAGTGGTTGAGAGTCCGCCTGCCGATGCAGGGGACACGGGTTCGTGCCCCGGTCCGGGAAGATCCCACACGCCGCGGAGCGGCTGGGCCCGTGAGCCATGGCTGCTAAGCCTGTGCGTCCAGAGCCTGTGCTTCACAACGGGAGAGGCCACAACAGTGAGAGGCCCGTGTACCGCAAAAAAAAAAAGAAAGAAAGAAAGAAAAATCAATTAGAGCCAGCTTATAAATAAATAAATAGATAAATGATAGATAAAATAATATTATTATTTTTGGAGGGGGAGGATCCCAGGGAAAGTTGACCAACCAAATCTCAGAAGGAACAGAAATTGGGGATCCAAGTAGCAGGAGTTTATTATGGACTTTCTAGAGAACTGCCCCCTACATAACTCAGCTACAGCAACCCCTAGGACCTGGGTCTCTTCATTCAAAATTCTGAATTTCTAAGAAAGAGAACCTGACTTGCCCAGCTCAGGCCAGGTTCCCATGCCCCCAGCTGGGTCTAGGGGCAGGACCTAAAATACAAACATGGCTGCTGAGGGCCCACCCCATGCATCAGGGCTGCCTCAGAAGAACGGGGTTCAAGGGTGGGGGGTGGAGCAGGGACCCACACCTCCCCCAGAGGGATCCAAGGTACTGTAGGTTTCAGCAAGATTCAAAAATGGGATCAGGCAATGGAAGAATAAATCTTAATTTTTTATCAAAAATAACTTAGTTATTTTTGAGTTATAATAAATTTCATTATATGAACTCAGTAATTCAGATATAGAACAGGTCATCCAGGTGATGTCATCTAAGATCAAACTGTGGATCTAGGTGGTAATTCAGGGAGTCCAGGTAGTAGTTGTGTGGTGTGGGGTTAACTGTTCTGGTGACTCTACCTGTAGTTGGTGGGAGGAAACCCATGTCTGGGGACACCACCTGAAATTTCACTTTCTAATTTTGAAAGGTATTATGGAAGTTACATTACAGGAAACTTAGAAAGAGGAGGAAAATACTGCCCATAATCTCACTACCTTAGTTCCATCATTCTCTTGTCACTTTAGTTGCCATCACAATGTTCATACAACTTTTTAATCTGCTTTTTTCATTGTCACGAGCATTTTTAAGTGCTCAGAGTCTTCACAAGCATGATCTTTAATAGCAACATAACAAGAAAGTACTTTGTATAAAATAAACAGACTTGGCGTGAAGGGAGGTAAAGTAGACATTTTTGCAAGAAAATACTGACCTATATGAAAAAATTCCTAAATCTGATGCCAGCTGCCAACCAACCTGCCAAGGATCACCTATTCCTGAATTCTTTATGGCCATGATCTTGCTGTCTGTCCTACTGTGGGATTTCAGATCTGTTGCTTCCAGGCAGGAGTCTGCAAAGCAGAGAATGCAAAGTTAGCGGGGCAGGTACGAGATGTTTAGTGCATGCTGATGGTCTGGACATCTAGAGGGGTGGTCCTCAACTGAGGGCAGCTTCCTCCACCCACCTGCCCACCCAGCGGACATTTGGCAATGTTTGGCGACATTTTTGTTGCCACAACTGGGGACAGAGGAGAAATGTTGCTAGCATCTAGTAGGTAGAGGCCAGAGACGCTACTAAGCATCCTACAATGCACAGGACAGTTCCCACAACAAAGAATTATCCCAGCCAAATACGAGTAGTTATCAAGGTTGAGAAACTCTGATCTAGACGGCACTGCAATTTCTTTTAAAATGTTAATGAACTCCATATTTACATTATCTGCCCTTGTTTGATTTGGGAAGGATTCTGGGATTTTTGCTGAAGGTGATGGGAATGAATGGATTGAATGGGTTTGCAAGATACTTGAAATAAAGCATGGGGCAGGAGAATGCAGAGGCTAAGCGTAAAGACTGGAGTTTGGAAGAATCAAGTTGAAATCCTGGCTCACCAAGTAAGCCCTCTAGGGAGGGCCTGCAAATGGGGTGATAATACTTGCCTCCTGGTGCTGAAATGGGGAGGAAATTAATGTGTCTGAAGCACTTAGCACAGGGCCTCACATGCAGTGAGCACACGAGAAATGGGGGGAGGGGCGGTGGTGAGGATTACTGTGCTGAAGCTCAGGGTCACCGTGTCTACCATTTCTCCAGCATCGACATGGCAGCTGCATTTCGTACATTCTTATTGTAGGAAAAATAGATTTTAAACACATTTTTATGATCTCGTCTGTGGAGACCCAGGCAATGTATACAAGATACATGATCTACATGCATTTTACAGGAAGAACTGCTTAGGTGAGGGTTGTCCAATTGAAATCTCTAATATATTTCCCCTGGTGTTTTGGTTTTTTTCTTTTGAATAATTTATTAATTTTCTTGTTAATTTGCAAAATACTTGTTTTCTGACATTCTTTGTTAAGCTCTTTTGATCTACTGAGAATTTAAGAGTGGGCCAAGCTGAGATAAAGTTATTGGGTAGCTAAACAAAATTATTGTCCACGGGCTTCCCTGGTGGCGCGGTGGTTGAGAGTCCGCCTGCCGATGCAGGGGACACGGGTTCGTGCCCCGGTCCGGGAAGATCCCACATGCCACGGAGCGGCTGGGCCCGTGAGCCATGGCCACTGAGCCTGTGCGTCCGGAGCCTGTGCTCCGCAACGGGAGAGGCCACAGCAGCGAGTACCGAAAAAAAAAAAAAAAAAATTATTGTCCACAGAGGCAATTCAAGTCCCCCGTGCAGTGTAAGAATCTCATCTCCATCCTGAGCTAAGTGTCTGGTTATCAGAAAGCAGCCATAGGAGACCCCAGTGTGCACTGGGGATCTGTGACCACTCTATTATCTACAGCTTGTTTTTGTGTGTCTGAGAACATCGGAGGGGCATTAAACACCGTGAGGAGCATGAAAGGCATCCTGGGCTTCCTGGGGTAGCCACAGAGTGAGTCCCAGTACAGGCAGCAGTGAGGAGGAGAAAGAAGGAAGAGCGGGGAGGGCCTGCCGGGGACAGCCCAGGACAGGGGCTGGTGCTGGAGGCTGAAATGGGCCCAGTGAATAGGCAGGGGTGGAGCCTCAGGAGAAGGAAAAGGAGAAGGGATCCACAGTGTCAGAAATGCTCCAGATGAAGAACGGCCCCCCGGTTCTGATCAGCAGGGCGATTGTGGGGAAGCCACGTGTGGGCAGATGGTCCTGGGTGGGCCTGGACTGAGATGGCCTCTGATAAACAAATATGAGGCCTGAGAGAAAGAGGATCTGGAAAGAGCCAGAAAGGTGGGGAATAAAACCAGAAAGAGTGTTTGATAGTAACCAAGAGAAATAGGAGTTTCATGAAGAGGTAGTGAAGAACAGATCCAGTCACATTAAGACAGAGCCTAGGGCTTCCCTGGTGGCGCAGTGGTTGAGAATCTGCCTGCTAATGCAGGGGACACGGGTTCGAGCCCTGGTCTGGGAGGATCCCACATGCTGCGGAGCAACTAGGCCCGTGAGCCACAACTACTGAGCCTGCACCTCTGGAGCCTGTGCTCCGCAACAAGAGAGGCCGCCATAGTGAGAGGCCCGCGCACCGCGATGAAGAGTGGCCCCCGCTTGCCACAACTAGAGAAAGCCCTCACACAGAAACGAAGACCCAACACAGCAAAAAATAAAAATAAAATAAATTAATAAACTCCTACCCCCAACATCTTTAAAAAAAAAAAAAAAAAAAGACAGAGCCTAACCGTGTCCTGGGGATGTTGGAAACAACGGTAATGTCCGTGGTGGGAGCCGTTCCCACGCTGGTGTGGTTGGGAACCAGGTGGAGTGGGCTGAGGCCAGATGCAGGGAATAGTCAGGAGAGCATGTCAACTGCTCTTTCAAACGTTTGGCTCTGAAAGGGGGTCAAGGCCACCTGCGGGGAGCTGGATGCAGGATCAAGTGGGTTACATTTCCTGTGTTGTTGAGTGTGGTGATGCACTGGTGGAAAGAAGCCAGGACATGACCGGGAATAAAGGTTCAGGAAAGAGAGTGGAGAGAGATGGAACAGTTCTAGGTGCCCAGTTCTGCAGATGGGGAGGGACGGAGTGAAGATGCTGCAGCCTGTTCATCACACAGAGGCTGACGGCCCAGTGACCTCTGCTTCCCCCAGGAAGTAGCGAGAGTGGTCGTCTGCTAAGAGAGATGGGGCCGGGATAGGCTGGATTGTGGAGGGGAGTGGGGCAGGACCGACAGGGGTGACGAAGCAGTGGGGAGGCCCACACATGTGCAGCAGCACCAGCTGCCCCATTTGGGGGGGTCTCTCCAGCAGTGAGACTGCTGTGGATACCCCACTTGACTCGACGAGTCAGATGTCTCCTTCCCAGCATCACCTGGTCCTGGCCCTTCCTATCTACCTGCTGCCCCTTCAGGAACCGGCACCAGACTGAGCAAGGTGTGTGTGTGTGTGTCTCTTATAAAAGCCCTGTCAACATTTCATTGCCTGAAATGAGTTCAGTCTCATGTGAAAGTTCTCATCATGTTGATTCAAACCCTGCTTCCCAGATAGCCTATGTCTTGGGGTCTCAGTAACTTCTACAAACTCTTCTAATTCTATGTTCCAAAGTCAGCCCAATCTAGGTTTGAATTCTGTTTCTGCCCTCACTAATTATATCCTTGAGCAGAGTTTTACCTAACTGTTCTCTACCTCAAGTTTTTCAACTATACAATCATAATAATAATACCGTCTCAGGGGGTTGTTGAAGGATTGAATGAGAAGGCGTGTAAAGCATTTGGCACAGTGTCTGGTATATGGTGTGAGCTGAATAAATGATCGCCATAATAACAAAATATTAGTGACAGTGCTTAATGTTAATCTTATCAATGTTAATAATAATTATAATTACGGTTCATCAAATATATAAGGCAGCTATGTTTCCACTAAACTTTTTTTCCAGCTTAAAGATCCTCAGTTCTTTTAACATTTTCTCCTGGGGCAAGGTTCAAACAGCAGCTCTGTCAGGGGTAGTGAGTCCCGTGTCCCTGGAGGAATTCAAGCAGAACGTGAAGCGTCACTCCGTGGTGATGTTGTAGAGGGCCTTGAACTTCTGACCGAGGCTTAAGCTGAAAAACCCTAGGGGTCCATTCCACCCTATGTCCTTCCAACCTTCTGACTTAAAAAACAAGGTCAGAAAGTGTACAATAAATGCTTCTCTGTGTCATAATCATTGTCATGTATGTTTGTCATTGCTATCGTATTTTAAATTTTATCACTTTTAATAGTTGTCATTGTCAAGGCCAGGGTTTTAATAAAAATGCCCATCTTCTAAAGTCTAAAATTATTGGAGAGGGTCTGATTAATTCAGAAAACATCAACAGCATCGTGCTAGATTCCTAAGGCTGTGAAAATGTGTAAAGTGTTACCTTTCTTGATAAAAATAATAGCAACACTTACATGGTGCTTATTCTTTAAGTTCTGCCCGTTTCACATGCATTCATTACCTTGATCCTCATAAAACATTATGAGGAAGGTATTGCTGTTATCCTCATTTGACAGAGGGGAAACTGACACTCAAGAGGTTAAGTGGCATGCCCAAGGCCATAGGCTGGTGAGTGTGGGAGCTGCACTAGAGCCAGGGTGAACTGGTTTCAGATCCTTTCTTGACCACTAAGCCATACAGCCTCTCTGCTGAGGACGGAAACCACAAACATTTCACCTTGAGTTTTTGCACCATTTCCCAGAAGAACTCCAGCCCCTTAAACTCATTTCTTAGTTGAAAAGGAGTCTTTGAAATCACTTTGGCCCCCATTTTACAGATGAGGACCCTGAGACCCCGGCAAATCTGGGGACTTCGCCTGAGTCCAGGCCTTTATTCCCAGCACAGGAGCTTTTCTGCCCAACATGCTTTTTGTCTCCATCACTTCTCTTCAAGGGGGTGAGGCCCAGGCCCCGAGTGGTACTCAGGGCCCTTCTCTGGCCTTGACAGATGCTGGCAGAGAAGATCAAGGGCACAGTTGCCTCGTCACAGAGACTGGCGTTTCCGGGCCACAGTCAACAGGCCTTGCCTGCGCCTTTAAAGAGGAATCAACCCAGTCCCTGTTAGTCCAATAGAAGCCCCACTAACTGGACACCTTAACTCAAAAACTAGGCCTTTCCAGGTCAGACCCAGGGGGTTTTCTCCTGGTCTGCCCCACCTCCATCTGTTTGTGCCGAGATCAAATAAATAACTTCACCACCAGGGAGGTGTTAGGAGCCAATTGGGAATTCTTTATCTGAGATAGGACTTGATTGGGAACAACTCGGGATGACTAATTATGGCTTTGAGGGGAATTCGCTTAGTGGCTGCCGCATTGCGTGAAGGATTCTTCCCACGTAAACTGGGCCATCTCACAGCTCTGAGGCTGATCATTTAATTAGCTCCATAGATAGTCAGATGTTATGGAAGCCAGTGCAGCATGTCAAATAGACAGTTT